AGTGAGAACCGAAAGCCAACTGGCGGATGACACCTGCAGAATATAGAAGAAGGTGGAAGGCCAAAATGATAACAGCATCGGTGTTAGAATTGCATGCAGACGTCCACATGAATTTAGCCTGTTTGGACTAAATGCAAAAAACAAAAGTACTCATTTCAACTAAAAGCTGGAAACTTGATGTTGCATTTAGCCAAGAACTATGTTTATTGAACAAATACTAAGGGTACTGAGGGGCAACGGGTGCCACCCACCAGTGGATCTGAGTTTAATTTAAAGAGCAATAACAGTAGAATTTTTGTCAAAAAAAGATTAGGTGACTAATAACCCTGGCTACGCTTTAGGAACTATAGAATCTTGAAGTGAATCAGTCATGGTTTGAGGAACTATGAGCTAGCAAAGCTCAGCACAAACTTTCTGAATTGAAGAGTCTCTCACTCGTACACGTTTGTCAACATCTTAAGTGCTGTCTTCCAGCCAAATACAAAAAAGAAATTTCCTAAGAGCCGAATTTTGGCAAAATAACGACCCAAAACATGCCTCACCCCTTAATACCAGGCATCCGAGAGAAGATAAGGTTGCGAATCTTAAGAAGTGGCCGCAGAGTTGCAATCTAAATCAATTAGAAATGTTACGAAAACACTTGAAATACAATTAAGATCAAAAAACCAAGAAAACAACCAAAAACTTACAAAAGCAATTCGAGCGATGCAATAAAACATGAAAGGACAGATGTAAGCGATCGGTAAATTCGTTGAGGAGTAAGCTACAAGAGGTATTCAAGCAAAACAGACAATCTATGAAGTGTTAGGGCTTCCCTCTTTATTACATTTTCCTCATTGCCACTTTCGTTCTCTGTCTTACAAATATTTAAGTTCTACAAACTGATAAAATCCAACTTTTTGCTGTTTCTGAATTTAACTTCTGTAAATAGTAATTTTATATGTAAAAGTGGTATTTACATTGCAGGTAACTAGTTAGAATGCAGCCCTCAACTCAATAGAATAAGCAGAAAAGGGAGGACTAGGAAGCCGTTTCTGACGAGGGACTGGATAAGTAGCAAGTTTTGTTTAACACTGGTACTAAAGTTGGAACCGCTACAGTATATGAACAATATGCGTATTATATTTGAAGAGTATATTATACAGCATATTATAATGTACGTACTTCGTAATAAATATATCAAGTCATATGTAATGTACTTATTTTGCATTATATATATATATATATATATATATATATATATATTTATTTTATGTTTATTTATTTATTTATTTACACTTGTTTTTATATTTATATTTTTTTGATAGCTGACATCATAGGTACTTGGGAAGTAAACTTATGAAAAACTCTTAAATAACCCTCAAAAAAGCATAGTTCATAATCTAGTCAACAAGTTTTGACAAGCCTCAAATCCTGTAAATTCCTGTTTCCTAGTTAAGTGACACACTATTCCATCCTGATTGTCTGTACACTCCCAGTTTTCTACATTTATGTGGCTGTAAACTAGTACTGTATGCATTGTACATCAAACCTTTTCGGTCACCTTTCACGATGCGTCGCCATTTATTCATATCCCAAAACTATCTGAAACGCGTATCAGCACTTAATTAAAGCTGCTATAAAACTTTTTATCACTGTACCCATACTGCCTTCTGATGTGGTGAAGTTCTTTATCAGTTTCAGCGATATCGCTATATGCGTTTAGTACCACGGTTCCACAATTGGAATCATTGATCAGATAAGTGTGAGATGTTTCACACTTACTGTTAAGCGAAACTGCTGCGAAAAAAAACAAAATAGACAGAACTTAAATATTCATTGTCCTTCTGTGGGTCTACATAACTATCTTTTAAGTGAAACGAAAAGAAACTCGAATTAAAATTTAGGTGGTACTGAGTTCGCATTATTTGACAGTTGAGTATGATCAAATTGCTGCGCTACGAATGCAGTACAAATAGCGCTGTTACTGAGCCTTGATATCACATGAACAACACATTTACTATATTTCATGTACAGTTCTGCATAATACTCTGAAACTTGGAAGTAGTTCAGAAAACTTCTCAATAAAATTTTTTTTATCACTTAAATTTCCCCAGAACCAAACAAAAGTCCCAGCCTTTAGAGAAAACTGGAACTAGAAATGAATCTCTAGAACAAAAAACAGATGTATGTCCTGTGCTTTCACTAATTACCTTTTTACTCTTTAAAACACAAAACTTCCTAATGTGTTCATTAGTAATTTCAAAGGGAGGGTAGATCAGTTTTCAGTGTATTTATTTCACAGTATGATGCAGAAGAAAGCGTGCGAAAATGATTTGAGCCGAAGTCTGCAAAAAACTAACGCTTTGTGGTATTAGTCTTGCAAAAATTATGTCGCCTCTTAGTTTAACATTTAAACCGCCATGCTCGAGCCACTGTAAAACCTTTTACTTTCTATATTACTGGAAATTTCAAAATAAAGGATAGTTTTTGTATAAGTAAGCCATTGTTAATTAGGAGAACAAAACTCACGTAAAAATAGCTGTTTCTTTTATATCAGCGGCATAACTCTAACTTGTCAGTGTCAAAATATATATTAAATTACCTTAAGTATACCTTTCGAACGATCGTAAATTGATTTCGCTCTATTGATTTTCCTCTTTTCGTTAAAGTCCATTGTCTAACTCTGAAAACCATTTGATGACTGAAAAAAATAGACTTATACAGTTTTGCATTTCTGCGAGTAACGGCAGTTGAACAAATTTTGGGGTTAAAGCCATAGAAACTGCTAATAAGTAAGAATGAACGACTAACAGTATTTAAGATGAGAACTTCTTGAACTCATCAACCAACACATCTGAAACAGTCAAGCCACTGTTTCAAAATAAGCAAAAATTCTTTATTGCCACTCATAAGCAAAGGTCCGAAAATTAATAACTAAGCAAAAGTTTAGTCGTTTCAGCATACTAAAGCTGCAAAAAGCTTGTAGCATTGTTTCTTCAATTACTGATGTCTATCCATCAGTATAATGTATAATCCTGGAAAATGACAAATTCTGCTCGCTTTCCTTGGAAAAAAGATAAATAAATTTAGTTTTTGTTCTTAAAGTAGCCTTGATAAACTATTGCACAATTAACCACGAAGAATTTGTTAAAATAATGTAACAACAAAATAAAATTTTAAACTGTGAATGCAATCTTATTCATTTCACAGTCTTCGCAGCAAATGAATATAGGCAAAAATCAAAAGACAAATAAATAAATTAAATAACACCGGCTTATCAACACTGTTTGCCGAACAGTGGACGTACTTTAGAATGTCATTTAAAAATTTTATTCATAATTATTTTACATTAAAGTTGTTTGCTTCCCTCTAAAAAAGTTTTCAAAGACTACACTGAATAAAGTTTTCAAAACAATATTTTCAAACACAATAAAATAAACATAAATACAAATAAACAACAGTCTAAAAATGCTAGAAAAACAATTACATAAGTCTGCTCATAGACAGCACGTCAAATGTATCATACTGAATAAACAAGTCTCTCATTCCATTCAATAAATTAATCCGTGCAACTGCTAAAAGCTGTTATTTATTTTCGATATAATGACGAGAAAATATGCAATTTGACTTTATTAGCAGAAAATTCTGTAGCCTTTTTTTTTTTATAATCAGCTAAGTTCGAACTCAATCGTCATTTTGTTAGCTATAAGGGAACTGTTTACCGTATATGTTACAATGTCTGTAAAATGTTAAGAGATACTGAACTGGAAAAATTAGATCAAGATTAGAAACTGAATTAGATGCCTTTAACGGTCAATCACTGATTCTAAACAAGCAAACTTTTACTCAACACCGACAATTAACCACTTAATTTTCGTCAATTTTATGATTCTGTTACGCAAGAGAAATTTCACCTGAAAATAATAATTTTTTATCATCTATAAGCCAACCAAAAAACTCTCAAATTCTTAAAACAAGAAACATACTACCAGAATTGTTCTTTTTGAGCAATTTTTGTAATGATAAAAAAATTAAGAGCAAAATTACACAGACATTTTCCATAAAAATTTGAAAAAGCAAAAACGAAAGAGTATTCGCAAGCAACACAATAAATCAAAGTAAAAAAATTCATGGTTAATAATCACTGTTTAGGTATAAAAGACGTTCTAAAAATTGATAATAATCTTAAATTTAAGCTTCATAACTGTAGGCCTCCCATGCAGTAAAAATAAAAGAAAGGAAGCCAAAAAATAAGAACAACTGCTGGATGCTAAAGAGAAGAAACAGCTGAACAAAAAATTTTTTACTCTTGTTTATTTGTTCTTCACTGCCGTTTCTGTATCTCAAAGTTAAAACTTCTACAATGAAAATGATAGAAGCAGCTAAAATGTAAAATTTCAGTAAAGCCCAAAAAGTGATAGTCGATCTCTTTAACTAAAATGCCTTTCGCCATCACGATGAATCAATAGGTTTGGTGATTGGTGCAGGTGACAAACTGAAGAAAAACCTCTTTTTCAAGGACAAGTCTTTTCTTTAACATGCACCATTCTGGTTTACCGAATAGCTAAAACACTGAAATATACTGAGATCGCATCACATATGGCTGCTATCAATAATTTTACATCCATACATACAAAAAAGCATTGGAATTAACTGACATAACCATTATCTATACCCGAATGAAACACCATCTATTAAAACCCTCTTTCACCAGAAGTTGATCAATGTCCGCAAAAAATGTGAAAAACTGCTAGCTGATCCTAACAATCACTGTCAGCCCCAAAAAGAAGCACAAGGAAAAAAATATACACATGCGAAAAAAATTCCACAAACAAAGAACATTACAGTACATTCTCTTACAAGAAAGCAAAGTTGAAGAATGCACTACAGAAAGTTCCTATTTTTCAAAAAATCTCTGCTTCCCATTACTCTCCCCTCTTTCTCACCTGCAGAAATGTTTTCAGTAAAAATTCCCTCACCTGTTTCATGACAATGCAGCAAAAGCAACTTTACAAAACCTCTTGCAATCGTTTCTTTGCAAAAGAGCTACATTTAGTACTGTTATAAACACCCAAAAACCAATTCATGAGCTATCAGGCAACATACTCAAGAAGCCAAAAATAAAATCTGAAATATTCCTATGTTTCAAACAACTAAAGAAA